AATAAAACTGATTATATATCTCATAGTAAGTAAACACCAAATTAGCCTAAATTGCTAAAACGCACAGAGGATTTATTGAAACTTCGGTAATTTGGAAAATCATGCATTTCAATTCTTGCCTTTTTAAAATCCAAAGCACTGCACAGGATGGTATTGGATTTCTGATAAGTGCTGAGAAATCTTCTGAAGGCAAAGACTCCAATGCTAAACAAATTTCTGTGCATGTGAATGTAGGTCTTTATTGGAGCCAGGATTCCCCAGTTTGAGTGTTGCTACCTTTTGTAAGCCTTCATTCAGTAACACCCCAGCTCACAGAAAGTGAACAGTTGAGGCTTTCAACATATTCTTACAAAAACATATTCAGTGCTTAATGTCTATATATTAGGATGATGCTAAATGGAGGGAAGGAAGGACAGTAAATTTCCCTGTGCTTGGGTTTTAGAGCTGTTCTCACTTCCCTTTTTGATGTATGATACACCCAATTCCTGTTACATGTGAAAGGTATATGTATGTAGTTTATCATCTATATTTAGTCATGGTTAGAGCAGAACATTTTAAATCAGTGGGACTCAGTTAGCTGATTTCTATGGCTCTAGGATTAAATCAGAATTCGACCCATTATTTCTTATCAAAACTGAAGTCAAGAAATCTGCCAAGGTTCTTTTTGGAAGAGATACACCTCATTTTAGAGGGATACCATTCATTTCCTGCTAGTTACAAACTGCTAGTTACAGTACTGAGGTATCAATCACAATATGAGAATGAGATTTTATTTAAAATTGAATGTGCTTCATAACTGAACTGAACATATATTTTAGAGTTGGTATAGCTTCATGAGATGGAGTGCCTGGCTGCATATGCCATCATCTGGGCAGGGTTTTTTTTTTTGGTTTTGTTTTGTTTTTGCAACTTGCACATTCCCAGTACACCACCAGAAGGGACCAGCAGACGACTTCTACCTACTTTATATTTTAAAAAGAAAACCCTGGGAGGAATTATTATAAGTCAGAATCAATTTGACAGCATATAATTAATTAATTGCATGTGTTTGATATATCAAAGTGCAATAAAACAGTATAACACTTTGCACATCAGACCCCTTCACATGTTACAGCTCTATATTTTGGGCATAATGTATGTTCTGGATCCTGTGAATCTACCCAAAGTTTCTGTCTGCATTTTACAAATCACTGAATCTGTTCTGGGAGTTGTCATCAGCACCTTAAACAGCTCCTGGCAACTGCAGACTCAGACACCAGGGTCAGTTTGCAGCTTGTCCAAAACCAGCACTGCCAGCTGCCACTGCATATACCCAGTGGGTACATGTGGAAAATGTAATGCACCCAGGAACTACAAGATGAACCCTAAGGGAAGGAACCTGCTAGTAAAACCATCCATTTGAAATAGTTTCACTAACATCAAGAGTGGTTTGGGAAACAGCAGCCACATATATTCTAAACTGATTTTAAATCAAATTACTTAGGCATCAACTAATTTCAGACTAAATCTTCCTAATGGCCCTACATTTGTTGTGATGTCCAATCAGTTCCCACTGTAGACTTATAATCCAAATATATCTAGCAAAAGAGTATATCTTGAACTCAACAGGACCTAACAGCCCAAACTATGTTTGGTATGTTCTCCCTGCACAACAGGAATGATGTGATCAGCTCTGACAGATCACCACTGATTAAGGGCTTCCTTTTCCAAACCCTGGGAAGTGGTGGTGCTGCGGGCTAAACTGCAGAAGCCTGTGCTGCAGGGTCAGAAGACCAGCACTCGTAAGATCGAATCCACGCAACGGAGTGAGCTCCCGTCGCTTTGCCCCAGCTCCTTGCCAACCTAGCAGTTCGAAAGCATGTAAATGCGAGTAGATAAATAGGTACCATCTCAGTGGGAAGGTAAAACAGCGTTCCCTAGTCACGCTGGCCACATGACAGTGGAAACTGTCTTCCGACAAGCGCTGGCTCTATGGCATGAAAAACGGGATGAGCACCGCCCCCTAGAGTCAGACACGACTGGACTAAAAATGTCAAGGGGAACCTTTACCTTTTACCTTTCCAAACCCTGAAAAGGATAGTCATAGTCTAGACATCTTTCCTTAATGGCAGACAAATTATTCACATTTGCAATTCTGTGGTTCACACAGCTTGCATGTAATGCAACAAAGTTACACGCACCCACAAATCACAAAAGGATGTGTTTTAATCAACAGCAATCTGCAGCTAACATCATACCTATTATGCAGGAAGACTCTACCTAGAATTTGGGCCTTTTGGTCCTATTGAGTTAAATGTATACTCTTTACTAAGTATATTTGGACTGGTAGGTTACAGTGTGGTTTACTCTAACTGTGCATGCTTACATATATCTTCTTTCACTGCCTTCTCTTGAAAAGGGTGGAATTTAGTTGTATCATGTCAGCATGGGATCAAGCCTAAACAGTATAAGCAAGTACCAAAACAAAAACAAAACAAAATGGTAATTCCATTTAATGTTATGCATTACTTCTTCGTTGTTTATTTCACTTAACTTCCCCCCCCCTTTTCTCTACAGGACCCAAGGAAGCTCACAACATGAATTAAAACAGATATAGGCAAAAAGACAATGGAACGGAACATTAAAATGCAGTTAAATGTGCTGTCTATTAAAAAGAAGCACTGAATGGCTTTTCTAAAACCATTTAAAGATGCAACAACAACCAACATTGAAAAGCCTTTCCTTAACAGCTAGTTAGTGGCCATGACCCTTTCTGAAAAAGGTATTTGCCTGCTGGTGGAAGGACGGCGGGGGGGCAGTCTGGTCTCCCTCAGAAGAGATTTCTTCCCACATCCACTGAAAAGGCCCCCTTCCAAGTCCTCAACAAAGGTTGCTGGCAGCAGAGGCAGATCTCCTATGAAACTAATGAAGCTTCAGGGCCCTTAATCCCAGAGGGCCCCCAGAAATGACTTTAGTCCAATTTTTTTTTAATGTGGTGATCTCTTGTGGAACAACCCTATTGAAGAAGGTAAGAGTGGTTACTTTTGTTGCTGACTGCAAAGTGGCCATCATAAACTTTCAAGCTTCTGGGCCCCAAAAATGTAGGTCTGCCATTGCCTGGGAATATGGTGTAAGCAACAGAAAAGCTTTCCTTGAAGTTCTCAAGATCTTGAGCAGGGTCATATAGGGATCTGCCATCCTTCAGACAGTTTCTGCCCAAACTATGGACAGCAGTACAGCACACGACCAGCACTTTGAATTGTGCCTTGAAACAGACAGTAGAAGAAAAAAAGGAGGTCCCTCACTTGGCTTCTGGCATTCTTTAAAAACTGAAAAGCATCTTCACAGCCACAATTCCTATATATATAGGAATGTGTGTGTGATAATATATATTACACACACACACACACACTAAAAACCCCGCCAGCAGGAGGTCAGTGGGGTATTCAGGGCCCAGTCCGCCCGAGTTGAGCGGGACGGCGGAGCCTGCGGAGGTGGCTGCCAAGCGAGGGCCAGGAGGAGCCCTCTCCTCCTCTTCGCCTTTCTCTCCGGGGGGGCTCCGTTGCACCCAGGCGTCTGCAGCGCTGAGCCAGCCGGAGTGTGTCCGCCGGCCGGGCGGGGGAAGAGAGGGGCGAGGAGCCAGGAAGCGGCGAGGGCTGAAGCCAACGACGACTTTGGAGTTGATGGCCCCGCTTGAGCAGCGGTAGAGGAAAAAAAAGGCAGCATCGACGCGCTCAGCTGCATCTTGTTAAAAGCTTCCTGCGGGTTGGCGGAATGAAATCTTTATTTAAAATACACGAAGTATCGTCAGGGGAGAGAAAGAGACGGCAGGCGAAAGGGCGGGCTAGGCGCTCTGAGGAAGGCAGCCGCCGGCACAAGGCGACGGGGCCAGGGGAAGCGGGCTTGAAATGGCGAGGGGAGAGCGGAGCTCCTCGGCCCTGCCAGCACGAGCGGAGGCGAGAAGTCGAGGGCTGCCCCGATGGCTCTTCCGGATCGCCCTCCCGTCCCCGGTTCTTGTTAATAAGTCTGGATGGAGTGGGGGAAGGGCCCGGGCTTTCATAGTAATAACAGTCCAAGAGTCAACTGTATTTACACTTGAAAGAGGGCCGGGAACGGGAAGGACGGGGGAAAGGGCAGCACCCCGGCCCGCTAGCCACTCATTTCCACCAAGCAGGCTTCCAAGGGGTGGCGAGAACCAGTCCCTTCTCGGTGACCCGCGACAGGTGCATTATTCCAATGCACGGCGATAAACTCTCCCTGTATGGGTGCGTCGCTGGTCAGGAAAGGCGTGGGTGGGGGCGGGGGCAAGAAAAGGGCATGTCGGAGCTTTAGGCTTTTACGTCGACAACAGACAACTGGTCGTTATACAAGGGTAACGGGCAGGGGTTTACGCGCCTCTCGGGAGGGGGGACAGGAGACCGCTCGACCCTTTTCCTCTCATATCCTGTTTAAGCGGAGCGCGCCTGCTTGGGCAAGCGATGGCGGGCGGAGGGGGTGGCAGAAAGTTCGGGAGGACGATGTTCTGCTCTCGTTCTCTTTTCGGAAACGACTGACAGAGAAAGGGATGAGCACAGTGGAATAAACTCCTCGGCCAAATTCGGGGTCTCGCGTTTGGGGCGAATAGGAATTGCCCCTCAGGACTCGAAGTGGAAAAAAAAAGGGGGGGGAGGTAAGAGACCATCCAGCGTGACGGAGAGAAGGCCGTTGCTTTTCTCTAAGGCGGGCTTGTGAGCTCCACACCCCGCACGGCCCCCACCAGCCTCGTTCCTTCAAATGCAAAGTTCACCAACAAAAATAAAGCTCCCCTTGACGCCCTCGCCATCTTTTCTCTCCTCTGGGCGGTCTTCTCTTCTTTTCCTCCTCTCCCCTTCACACCTCACACCCCACCTCCTTCCCCCTGCGGCTTTGGGCCAGGCAGGCAGCAAGGCAAGGCAAGGCAGCGGCGCCGCTCGCCCCTGCCAGCCATCAAGTGGCTCGTTAAGGAAATGCAGGTGAGTGTGAGGAGAAGAAGAAGAAGAGGAGAGGCGAGGAGGAGGAGGAGAAGCGCGGCTCCGGCTGGCCGGCACCGCTGCCGCTAAGACTGGCTGTGGTGGCGGGGATGAGCCCAAGCCGGGAAGAGGGACCAGGGCTTCGGTGCGCCTGCAAGAGGGCGACGCTTCTCGCCTCCTCCTTTGCCTTCGCGGACGCCGCCGCCGCCGCCGCCGCCTTGCATCCCGCTTCGCCTCGCCAGCAGGAGGAGCGTCCATGTGCTTTCGTTTTCCCCTCGGTGTGTGCGGGGAGGGTTCGCTTTTGACAGCACCGGCATCGCCGACTCCGCCGTGTTATCAGTTATCTCTTCCCCCCCCTCCCGCCCGCGCGCCTTCTCGCTCGCGCTTTCGGGCTACTCCGTTTCTTCTGCTGCTGAGGAGCTTCTGACAAGCGACCTCTCCACACACTCCACCTCCCACTTGGCTCTTGCCTTCTTCTTCTTCTTCTCCCCCTCCTCTTCTTCCTCCTCCTCTACACCCCCCTCCTCCGAAAACACAAACCCTTCCTTCTTTCCTTCCCCACACGCTCTCCTCTCAGGGCAGCCTCGGCGGGGAAAAAGAGTCGCCAGGTATTTCGCCTTTTGCCCTCGAGAGCGAGGCAGCGGCGCCGGCAACTGGGCACGGCTCGGGAGCGAGCGCGCGCGC